TGAAACACTGGCATGCAAGAAATTGCATATGGACGAACAAAACTTTCTTGACTTTCAGTAATGGCTAGATTTTAAATTACTGTCACACAATTTTATTTTTATGTGCTGCGTGTGAGACTGTTTTAATTGCAGTCTGGAGCCCTGGGGCCCGTTCTTCGTACGTCGCTTATTACATCCGAGATGAAATGTCACATCCAAGATGATATCATCTCGCTAATCAGGATCTGGCTAATTCAGTTCTTCGAGCGCACCTGTTGTTGATGATTAGTATGGCTGGATTGAGTTATCTGAGATAATTGCGTGTTCATGGATTGGTTTAAAAGGGGCTATGTATCGATCGATACTCGAAACCACGATCAGCAATGCAGCGATTGGCTGGCGGCAGCAACGTAATGACATCATATAATTAAATAAGACACCTGACGAAAAACTTGACAAAGTTTTGGACTTTTACAAGGAAACAGCCAAGCGAACAAAACTACATAAATGTTATAATAGATAAATGAAATGTGAGCTGTTTTTATTAAAAAATTTTTACATGATTCCCAATTATTTATATTCACGATTTCTAATATTTGTACAGGCTTTACATTTTTATTTTAATGTAGTAATTAGCAATTCATTTAATTTTATATTTGAACAGATTTGTTACGTGACAGCATTAATTAAAGGTTCTTAAGATCGTGTTTTCTGCGTCTCCTGCGCTCCACCAAGCCACTCCCATAATATCTGTCAGCACTCAAATTAATGCACGACTCTACATTATCTGTATAGCATGTGTGTAAGACTCGAATACAATTATGAAATAATTATTTTATGACAAATAAATCTTTCAGTGAGTAAAACTGGCTGTGTCTACAGTATTAAAGACTACACAACATTATTATATTATCTTTAAATTAATTTTTAAATGATTATTATTTTAAATGATTGTCCCTGGATTAGTAGGGTACTCTTGTAATAAAGTAGCGGCGGCTGGGACAGATTTTAAGTATCAATTCTGCTTAAAAAGATCAACAGTCTAATCCTGTTTACATTAAATAAGCTGCTCCCCAGCAGGTTTAAGCTTACGGACCTGTTGCTATGACAGCAACTTCGGGATGAGCTTCGAAGAACCAAACAATCCAAGATCACGCCAAATCGTCAACAATTAAATCCAGCTAACTGAGTTAGCGACGTACGACGAACGGGCACAAGGTTTCTTCAGGATCACTAGAAAGTCAGTGGCAGGCGAGTTTGATCGAGGTTGGCGCTTACTCTGCAGGAAAGTGGACCACCTCCAGGGCCAGAGCTGAGAGCCCCTGCTATATTGTTTGATAATTTTCTGTTTAGCTTTTGTAAAGCAGCTTCAGCATTGATAATTGCTCTAAATAAAGTAAACTTAATTTTATTGTTAGTGGTAGTAGATGTAGTAACAAGTGGTCAACAGCGCGACAAGCTGGTCACGTGACGCCAAGATGGCGGAGGCCATGAGGGGGCGACCCGCTCTATGCAAAACAAAACACGGGTTTCCAAGTTCAATTTCAACACTGATGACTTCTTCAGCTCATGTCAGCGCGCATTATTTTAATTATACTTCTCTAAATTTCCATTCTTTTTTTCTACAAATGACTGAGTGCATATTTAGCAATTTACCTTGATGACTTTTTAGAAGTCCTTAAATAACCTTATCTCTCAATGTTAGTGGACATCTAACCTCTCTTTCTGCTTCCCTTCCATGAACTCGCTTATTCGTGGACCCGAGATTACTGTGTGTTTAACACCCCAAACAAAGTTGTTGCCGAGTTACACAGAAGGAAAAGCACTCGCGCTGCGCTGTTTTTTTAAAGCCAAGTCAAGTACTCTCACTGCGCTGTCAAAGTGAGAGCTCCGTGGGCGGTGCGTGTGCGTGTGCGTGTGTGTGAGTGTTTTCACTAGCACATTTGATCAGTGCGCGCACGGAGGACGAGAGGAAGTAGCCTGGAGTGTGGACTCATGGACTAATATCCAGCTGGAGCAGTCAATACAGTTGGAAATACCTCCATGACATACTTAAAGGACTCTTACATAACGAGAACATGTGAACTTCACGCAGCTCTCGTGGTTGGCCTACCAACAATCTCGATTTCGATGATTTTAATGAACCTCTTCCTTGTCTTCATCCTAGGATGTTGGAATAAGCCAGCCAAGCTAAAATCAAAGGTAGGAAATAAATGCATGTCGAAGAGCATGGCTGTAAACAAATTTACAAAATATCTTCATGGAACATGATCTTTACTTAATATCCTAATGATTTTTGGCATAAAAGAAAAATCAATAATTTTGACCCATACAATGTATTTTGGGCTATTGCTACAAATATACCCCAGCGACTTAAGACTGCTTTTGTGCTCCAGGGTCACATTTGTGGAGTAAAAGTTATAATTTGTATTTTTAAGTAAACAGACACAATTAGACCCTTGGGGTAAGATGCCCCTCAGAATTGGCACAGAAGGTGGCATGTTTTTACTAGTGTTATTATGTTTAAATGTAATACTTACTGTAATTAATGCGGATATTTAATATTTCCATAAGTTAAGACATACATTTCAGACATCTTCGCTTTCATTAAAACCTATAGGTTAATTGAGTAAAATCATTACATTTGCATTCATAGTGTTGCTATTATGACACATCTTCAATTAAAATATGGGCAATTAAATATGTAAATATTCATATGCCTGTATACAAGTCATAGAATCATTTTACCTTTCAGATGAATCTCTTTTACTGGGATTCTGCTTTGTCTGTCATCGGTTATTCAACTATTCATCTAAATCATCAAAATAAAATTTTAAATAGAATAGTTGATTTAGTATTTTACATTAATGACACTTGAAAAAGTACATAAATCTTAATTAAGAATGATCTCAAAAGTCATCCATACATCCAGTAAATGTTTATCCGGGCGCCTTCTTGCCACAGTATTTTACATTGTGTGCTTTAACAACTAAATGAGCAAATATCTCTATTTATTTCCTATAATAAACTCACGGGCTGATGCATCATCATCCTGCACATACTAAACCTACATCTAAATATGTTACAATTTAAAAGTAAATCCACACTGTGCTTAAGAGGGTCATCTTCCCCCATCTTCCCCTATATTTTGGCCATAATTTTATTTATGCAGTAGACCAGTGAGCACAAAGTGCACTAAAGCGTTAAGCAATGTTAAAGGTATATACAACAACAAATACTTTACGGTTCACATGTTATTCATCTGAAAAGTAATGACTCAATCTGGCACGCTTTACAATGTATGTAATCCTTTGTTGTGTCAGTTGCTATTAATTTAATTTATTAATTAACTTTTACTAACATTTAAAATGTATTATAGGCATTAGTGCCTACAGGTGCATCTCAATAAATTAGAATGTCGTGGAAAAGTTAATTTATTTCAGTAATTCAACTCAAATTGTGAAACTCGTGTATTAAATAAATTCAGTGCACACAGACTGAAGTAGTTTAAGTCTTTGGTTCTTTTAATTGTGATGATTTTGGCTCACATTTAACAAAAACCCACCA